GGGAGGGAGAGAGATGGGAGGAGGGAGTACCCAGACAGAGAAAGGGGAGAGAAACAGGAAAGGCGAGAGAGAAAGAGAGAGAGAGAAGTAAAAGGTAGGGGTCCTTTGATCTTGGGCCCCTGTGGGCATGACCAATGATAACATCACAGGTGCCTAAGCAACCTGGAAGGGGGCTAGTGCATCAAGATTTATGAACTAACAGATAGCCCATGGTTATAGCCCATACTGGTTCCCCAGCCTGAGCTTTTTGAAACCACAGAAAGTGTTTATTAGTGATTTATCTGACTCTTTCATACTTTGTGTTGAATAATATCAATATATAATTTTATATAAAACGTGTGTTACATATTTATAAAATGTATTTTAATATTTAATTAATTTAAATTCTTTTGTGTGTTTATTAAATATTACATGTTATATATTTATTACATTTATATATATATATATGCACCAAAGAGGAAAGGCCAACATGAGCTTATCAAATTTCTTCCCTACTTCCTGTCACTTTTGGCAGGCCTGAGCCAAGGTGCTTCCCTGAGAAATCATGCCATGCAACAGATCTGGCATAAAGGGGGTTTATTGGGTGAGGGGAGAGGAGTGAGGACCTAGGGAGGAGGTTAGAGGCAGCAAGAGAGCCATGAGGACTGAGAGGAGGGGGTATGCACGGGGAATAGAGAGAGGAAACAAGGGGAAAGGGTAAGAGAGAGAGAGAAAAACAAACAGGGAGGGAAGGGGAAAAGGGAGGAGAAAGAGGCAGAGGAAACCTTAGGAAAGGAAGAGGGAGGGGGAAAGGGACGTCTGGGTTGGCTGGATTGGCTGGGATGGCTGAGATGGCTGGGATGGCTGGGATGGCTGGGGGCCTTTTTATTGCAGCACACATCTGGAGGCTGAGGCGGTCTTCACGTCAGCAGCTTTGCACCTGGAGGGGCGGTGACAAGTCTTGACATTAGCAGCTGCTAGGTCTCCATGGGCAGGCCGAGGAATCCCCTGTATGCTACCACTTCCTCAAGCCAGGGCCACTCTTAGGTCAGAAGGGCCACCCACTCACCTGAGGTCAGGAGGACTAGTTGCTCTCTCCCCAGCTTAAGCTCTGCCTGCTCCCTGGTCTGCTCTACCTCAGGAAAACCACCATGCTGCTCTGGATGGTTCTACTATTCCTTGGTGAGTACTGGGCTCTGGCGTCCCTTCCAGTCCTCCAGTCCGGAGACACAGTTCCTAGCCTTTCCTTAAGCTTGAGAAAAGGTTGCACACTGGCAAACCGAGGGAAGCCGGTATGGGTTGGAAGCATTCCTATCTCCTCTGCCAAGGTTCTTGGCAAAGCAGGCCCTTGGTGAATCAGAAATAAACTAGAGAAGCAGACTCTGTGATCCCATTATCTCCCACAGTCACTTTTACCCTATGAAATCATTTGGGGGGGCTATCCCAAAGGGAAACAGTCACAGAAGGAAGCGCATCCCCTGGGAGTCTGAGGGGGAAGATCAGAAAAAGGAGCGTAAGCGCCATGCATTTTGTTCAGCAACAAGAAGTGAAATTTGGGAGGCAAAATCATTCTTATGAAAGTTTAGCATTCTCCAAGTTCCACTCATCGATGATTGGACTTCTCACTTGGTCAAAAGTCCTGCATGCCTTCCAAACCCCTTGTCAAGCCTGTCTGTCCCCTTCTGCCTACTTTGTCTCTCTCTGTAGGGGGTATGTATGGTAAGCTTTGAAGTCTAATTGGTCCTTGGGGCTGGTTTGAAGAGTCAGTAATCTATGTCTCTCTCCTCTCCATTTCTCCACCCACATTCTCCACCAGTTATGGTGACTGTTCCAAAAGGGAAAGCTTGCAGAGCAGAGGGTCTCTGATCTCCCTAAACTCAGCTCAGTCTCAGCTCGGCTCAATGTGCTATACCCCAAAGTTATAACTATAACTGTATGTATATATATATATATATATATATATATACATATATACATATATATATACAGTATATACATATATATGTATATACATATACATATATATATACAGTTATAGTTATAGTTATAATATATTACATTTAATATATATTGTAAACACATATATTAAATATATATTGTAATGTATGTACAATACATATTATATACTATATATATTTATATACTTAAATTTATAAATATTTCTCCATTCCTTAGACATAGATGGATCCTAATTGGCAAAACTAGTAATTCATTTGAAATAACATGTAGGGTGTGGCCACAATATTGTGCAACAATTACCAATTATCAGTTATCAGGTATCTGGAAGGCTAGAGGTCCCGGCATCAAACATGATGAGATATGCCTCAGTATTAAATATGGGAAGTTGGAGGGATGGTCCTTAGCTTCCTCCTGAACCAAGAATTAGACAAGTTCCTTTCCTAGTGTAGCCTACCTCCCACATCATTGCAGGGCCTTTTGGGGGTCCCGCTTGGGTTGTAATGATGAAGATGTGGGGACAGATGTATTGTATGAGGCAGTTGGCCTTTCGCTGGGGCGGTCTCTCAGCTAGCCCTCTACCTTAACCCGCCCCCCCCCCCCGCCACTGTGTCCCACCACGCGCTTCTCTCGCTCTTTACCGCCCTGCTTTTCCTGTTCTCTGCCTCTGTTCTTCTGCCCAGTCACCACCTAGGTCACTCTTTCTGGCCACATTTCTTCCTCGTACGAAAAAGCTATTAGCGTAGTAGGAGGTGGCTATGTGACCTCCCACATGGCAGCTGTCTTTTCTTTTCTGGCAGACAAACATTTATATATCCTGTTAGCCTCGCGCTGCCAGCACAACAGTTAACAAATGAGAGCACAGGAACACACCTTCATAGCCAGTTAATACAATATGTGGGGGGGGGGGTATCCCAACATGCTTACACATCTTCCATGGCAGCTGTCACGGGACCTCCACACCCTCCTCCCAGCACCGTGGCACCCATGGCTTGACAAAGCAACATGCTCCTTCATGAAAGAGACCCTCTGTGAGGTGGTTCTTCGTGTTAAGCTAAATCTGCCTCCCTGGTTCTTCTAATTTTCAATAATCTCTTTCCTGTCCTATAAAACAACTCACAAAAACTCTTCCCCTCCTCTTCCACAGAATGGTTAAAGACCACTTTTTTGTCTGTGCTCTGTTGTGTCTGTACAGATAAAAATCTCCCAAATGCTCAGCATTCCAACAGGAGAGGGTTTCCAGACCCTGTTCCTCATCCTAATCAACCTTGCCTTGATGTGATTTGTTGTGCATGGAGCTCAGCTTTCCTCTCCCTCCCATTGTGAGGCAAGGAGCTCCCAGCTGCTTCTGCTGTCTGGGATTCTGTAAGGCAACTTAGTGTGACAGTAGCTCATAGACAGCTTGTCAAATTGTCACCTCAACTCCATCCTACATCTAACTAAGGTCCCTGAGCCTGCTTTAGAGAAACTGCTGTAGACAAGTGTCACTCAGGAAGTGTGATCCCAGTTGGCTGCCATCTTGATTACAGATGCCTATTTCATACTCATAACTCCAAGGTCCCGCTGTGCAATGCAGCGAAAAGTCATCAGGACTTGGAGACGTGAGCTCACTTAAGTGGCTTTGCTGTCTAGGTGACGTCTCTCTTGTTATAAGCTTCAGACCTATCAACCCTGTTTGTTCAGCATTTTGTAACAGCAAAATTGTTTTGCAGTGAGAAAGAAAAGTAGGGGAAGCATAACTACATACAGAACAGGTTCTCATCCACCTTCTTTCCGCTTTCAGTCAGTGTACTAACCAGTTTTCCAGGCAGTGGGTCAATATAACTTTTACAGCCACCTATTTTAAAAATTACTATTATCATTCCCAATTATATGATATGACAAAATGAGGAATTGGTAGCTCTCAGAATTTGGGAAACTGGTTTGTCCAAGCTCGCACAGAAAGAGACAGATTTGTGAAGGTCACCTGCTTCGGAATCCTGTCTACTTTTTACAGTATCAGACTCATAGGTGAGAAGAGTGGGAAGAGAGAAGGAGAGAGACTGTTTTTCTGGGGTCCCCAGGCATCAAGTGTGGCCTGCTTGTGTCTAGTTCTCCACTATACTGAACGCCAGAAAGCTGGTCACTAACTCCCTCTGCCCAGCTTTGCAGTTCACTGTCTAGATCCTGAGTTCAAAACTGAGATGTCTTGGATTTTAACAAGACAAGTCCCAAGGGTGGCTCCTTCCTCGAGGTCATAGACCTCCACCACCCCTCCCCTACCCCAGGAACCTCCTACTGAAGTACACTCAGCACAGGCAACCCTGGCCCTGCAGTACTGTGAGGGTTAGGCGTTGTCACTTGCCAAGATGGCCATTCCTAGAGCACAGAGCAGCGCTGCGATGGAGAAGAAAAGAGCACAAAGCAGAGCAGGCGCTCTCCTTGCAGGCTTCGGTTTTCACAAACTCTGTCCAGGAAGAGGTCAGAGTTAGGAAGAACTTTGCTTTTCTGTTCCATGAAATAAATCAAGCAAACAAACAGAAGGAAAACAAAACAAACAAACAAGCAAATAAACCATTGGAAAACAACAGAGGTTTTTGTTTTGGTTGGTTTGGTTTGGTTTGGTTTTTCTTTTTTTCTGTCCTCTGAAAGGTCAGCTAAGAAAACTGTCAGTGGAATACACACACACACACACACACACACACACACACACACACACGTTAAAACTTTGGGGTATAGCACATTGAGCCTAGCTGAGACTGAGCTGAGTTTAGCGAGAACAGAGACCCTCTGCTTTGCAAGCTTTCACTTTTGGAACAGTCACAACATGACTGGCCAATGTGGGTGGAAAAATGGAGTGACGACATGGATTACTGATTCTTCAAACCAGCCCTGGAGACCAGTTAGACCTCAAAGCTCACCATACCCCCTGCAGAGAGATACAAAGTAGGCAGAAGAGGTCAGGCAGGCTTGACAAGGGGTTTGGATAGTGTGCAGGACTTTTGACCAAGTGGAAATATAAGGAAATATAAGCAGTAATGTGCTGGCAACCTCATAAATAAGACAAATTCAAACCATATGTGGCAGCTCAGGCTTGTCACCTCGGCACCCTGAAACAAGAACATTTCCATGAGTCAAAGGCCAGCCTGGGCTGTATGATTAGTTTCAGGGCAGCTTGGGCTACAGAGTAAGACCTTGTCTCACAAATAAACTAGAAGACTGCCAGTACTCTGGAGAGTGTTAGTAATAGTACTACGGAGTACTAATACTGTGTAGAGTAATAGTCTTACAATAGGATCCTATGAACAGGAGAATTCTTCTGAGTAGGGTCCTGTGGAGTAGGGTCCTGTGTCCATGATAAACGTTTGCTAGTTCAATGGTTGAGGGAAGCAACTGAGTGGCTTAGTGATTAGATGGTCGGGTGGCTTGGGGGTTGGGTGGTTGCTAGCTCAAGATGATATAAATACCAGTTGTTGATGTGAAAGTTTTTCTGCTACTTAATGTAATTTTATCACTTTGATATCTTGCAGTTTCCAAGACTGAAGCTCAAGGTGAGTCAACAGCTGGAGGGTCTTGTGGGACAGTGGATCTTGGAGGTCAGTGGCTCTCTGGTCAGTACCCTCCCTCCAGATGATAGTGAGCCAATTCATTGGGCCCTGAGATATCCAAAGCAATACCTAACGCGTAGCCAGAGGATGCAAGAAATTTGGAAGAGCACTGGACCGGCCCGGCTACCCACTTTTCCCCTCTGAGGACCACAAACACTTAAGGAGTCTCCTGGCTCTGAGTTTCCAGGGTTCTCATGGGACCTGGCTTTGTAGGAGTCATTTCAGATTCCCTGCATGAGGACAGAAGCTCTGGGGATGAAACTATCTCTATTCTGGGTCTCATAGTTATAGCCTGATGTATGTGGAAGATCGGTCCTCAGCCTCCTGGGCTTCACCATCTGGGACTTTCTTCTGAGCCCTGGGTTTGTGTCTCCCCTAGAGTCGTTGCAGACGCCTGTGCTGAGCCGCATCCCCTCTCCAGACTCGGAAGACCTGATCCTGAAGTGTAAGGCAAAGGTGCACCCTGAGAAGCCAGCTTTGCAGCTCTTCTATTCCTTCTACAAGGACAGCCATGTCATTCTGAACAGGAGTCACAGCCCAATCTTCTCCATCACAGAAGCCAAGGACGAAGACTCTGGGCTTTACCAGTGTATGGTGGCCACTAAGGATGGCATAATCCAGAAACGAAGTAACCATCTGGAGATCCAGTTACAAAGTAAGTGGATGAGAGGCCAGAGATATTCCTAAGGAGTCCCCGGAGAGAAGGGATCCTGGATCCCAGCAGTTAGGCTGACTCTCCCATCCCATGTTCCCTCCTCCAGTGCCTGTATCGCATCCTGTGCTCAGTCTGGAACATGAAGCCACCAACCCTGCTGTAGGAGACATGGTGAAGTTTCTCTGTGAGGCCGAGAGGGGCTCCCTTCCAATCGTATACTCCTTCTACCTTGACGGAAAGATCCTAGGGGAACCGTTGGCTCCCCCTGGCAGAGCTGCCTCCCTTGTCGTCTCAGTGAAGGCGGAGTGGAGTGCTAAGAACTATTCCTGTGAAGCTAAAAACAACGTCTCCAGTGAGAGGAGTGAACCCAAGAAGTTCCCCTCAGTTGGTATGTGCTGTCCCCCACAATCCCTGCGCCCCAGGAACTGGGCAGGAATCACACCTCACTCATTCTTCTGTAACCTCCCACCATGCCTAGCACAATAATGACTTCTGGCAGAAGCTCTGCTTGGCTGATCATGGGAAAGACTCTGATCCGAAGTATCTTTCCTCCGAGCTGGCAGAGGGTGGTGGCCCGTGGGGGAGGGGTTACGTGGCCAGTCATGCTAGCACCTTCTGAGCCGCCTCTCATTCCCACTTAGAAGACTGCTCCAGGCCACATGATTTCCCCAAAGCCGTCCATTGTGTCTCCTGTGCCAGTTTAGGATGTATTTCTGAATAGTCACTTCCTCGTTCTCAGGTTCTCACGTCTTGTCTGCCTTGACCAACAGAAACATGTTAATTACCTGGCTCCCTGTAAGCCTGCTTGGTGGGATGGTCATTGCCGCTGTGTTTCTAATTTACTTCTTCAGAGCCCATAAAAAAGATGGTTAGTAATTCTTTTCAGATTTCTTACTTGCTAAATCCCTGGCATTTACCAGCTTTTGAGAAATCACAGCCTGAAAGACATAGCCATTCTCTTTGTCTGAGTCCCATGAGAGGAGAGAGATTTTTCTCCCCAAGTCACACCAAGAAAAAAACTCAGAAGGACACGTTTAAAGAGTGTTCAGCATACACACAGAGATACTGAACCTCTCATAATCTCAGTCATAGACACACAAACACGCCATTACACACTCAGACATGAAATAGAAACATGAACCAAGGAATTCTAACAAGATAGGTATGAGGTACGTCGGTGTCCTTCACATTAGAAAGATAATATGACTGAGGTATAAAAGCGAAAGACCTTTAAACCTCATTCACTAAATACAGCTTTCCTAGAGTCTGCTAAGAGAGAAATAATAAATAAGAGCTAGGATGCTTAGTACGTACTCACACACTCACCTTGGACAGTGCAGTAGCCAGGGTGAGTGACACTGACACATCTGACAGGAAATTAGATAGAGAGGAGAGATCAATGGACAACTCCCAACCCTGCCACTCTGTGGCTTGAGCCAGTGCTCTCTAAAGTCATCAAATAACTCCCTCTCAGGGATATTGTAAGGCTGTAAACTAATGAGATGACATGCAGCTACAAGTAATAGGTTCAAGTGGCACATGAGTGGATGTCTGACAAGTTGTCATTCTGGGACAAGCAGTTCCTACATCAAGTTCCCCAGTGTTTATCTTCTAAAAAGGTTAGCTAAAATTTTGATGTATGAAATTCTACAGAGAAGTAAAAACAGTCAGATGCCTGAGGTGTGTGAGCTTTTCTGTAACTTTTGAGACCCCGGACTCTTCTTCCTAGCTTAGTGACAATATTTAAGTATGAATGCTAGCTTCCAAAATAATTATTTTGGACATCTACTTGCTTATTCCATCTTGAAGCCTCATTTGCTTCAAGTCACACTTAAGGAACAATCAATTTCAAAGCTATTCAATTCCAGTTTGTTTCTAGGTCTTTAAATCTACCTACAGATGTTCAAATGAACCCTACTTCCCTCTCCATGGGGACGATGTTCTTATTTTTCTATTTAGTCTAGGCAAAAAATGATTGCTTTAAGAAACTTCTAAAGCAAGACTTGCTTATTTAGATCCTTCCAGTAATAAAATTTTGATGGACTTTCTGGAAACTTATGGAACTTATTTGTCAAGGAAGACCACGCCCATGAATCCAAGATTAGATATAATAAATAGAATGGTTACACATAAAAGGTTGCCCAGTGTCTAGCAGGATCCTAATGTAGCAGTTGTTTTATTTTCATATATACCTTTGAGGTTAGCATGTAACATTATGGGTTTCATTGTGGCATTTTTCAAATACATATGTTATTATATTTTGTGGCAGTTATTTTTAAATCATCTTTTATACCTCATCTCTCTTGAATCTATCATCCTTATGAGGAAGTTAATAGCATCACCCTTTCCATGGTTGAGCGAGCTAAGGACTTCTCAGATATGATGTCTAATAAGGTTATGCAGATGGTGGTAGCTGAATTGGTTCTAGAATCTAAGTCACTAATCCCTCATTCTTCCTATTTTGAAATTAAATTGAAGCAAAAGGCTCTGTATTCTCTTAGGGATGTACACCAGACAGAAGGTGGATGGAGATAAATGCAGACACCCTGACCTGAGTGTTTCTCCTTCCATAAACAGACCTGAGGAGTTCACCACAGGAAACCAAGTAAGGAAGAACCCCTGCCCTTTTCTCACCCTTTGTCTTACATCTGCTTCCATGTTCTGACCTAACTTTCCTGCAGGACACTCCTATCTATGCAATGGTGAATAAAAACAGAGCTACATGAGCTTTCTACCAATGATCTGGATCCAAACAACAGGACCTACCAACATCCACTTGGTGTCTATGATGCAACGTCTTCCTCCAACATACCCGTCTCCAGCATTCAGCTTCCAGCCTCCAGCACTCTCCATTTGCTCCAACCTCTTTCTGTGTGTCAACCAGTTCCTGAGCCCAACAGCAAGGGAACCCCAATGCCCTATTTCTGGCCAGGGGCTCCGAACTGTGAGTTCTCTTCTGAATGAGAAACCAGGCAATGGTGTGGGAATGAGCAATTTCCACCTTCAGAGAGAGAGAGAGAGAGAGAGAGAGAGAGAGTTCAAAAGTAACATTGTACACAGAGGAACAGATATCTTGTCAGTACAAATGGAAAAGGGTTTTTCTTCCAGATAGACAGATATAGATAGATAGATAGATAGATAGATAGATAGATAGATAGATAGATA